ATATATGCATTTCCGTACCGAATGCACTTTGCATCTCACTTGTCATTGTTGCCATAAATAACGTTTTCACTCATTCTATGCACTTTACATTTAAAGTAATTTAATGCGACTTTTACTAATCGTATTTACTTAAAAGTTATGCATGCACTGTAAATAAAAGTATTTTCTAATCATACACTGAACAGGGTCTATCAAGTTTGCCACGAAGTTTGTAGCACCCAGAACGAAACGTCGGAAACCTTATAATATATATATATATACTTGTATATACAAGTATGGTATATGAGTCATCAACGTGACGTTATGAACCACCGATATCGGACTACTATAGCATATAGCTGCCATACAAACTGAACGACCAAACCAACCGAAGTTAACGTTTTCTTAAACTAATTTATAGTTACATACTTGTACATATATAATTTTTTTTCATATTTCGATTTATTCATAAATATCTTCCTAAAAGCAATTTTTGTTCAAACTACTTGTCGTTTTAGTGTCGTGGCAACTTGGCAGATGAGCGGAATCGGACAGTACTATAACTAAGATAGAAGGAATTAAAGTAGAGAGAGGTATTACGGTTTAAATATGATTAAAAAGTGCCTGAGTCTTCTAATATGGTTAATTGGATATCTCACAAGTTCTTCAAACTTTTTCTTCCAAGCTTGCCAAGGAGAAGTCACTTTATCGCCTCTTTATACACTGTGAAAATGGGTGAAATTAGACAATATCCTCGCCCACTCTCCATATAATAGTTATGTTGAAAACAACGAAAAGAACGATAACTCAGTAAATAAAAACTTTAATTTTACACCCAAGATGATACGGAAAGTCTTCATAGGAGCCGGTATTCCAATTGTTCAGTACAATGGCCATGGCACCGCCCACCTTTAGGTGACATCCTATATCTCAGGAACTACTTGACCAATTTCAACCAACATTTGGTGCTTAGCATTATTTTGACATTCTTATTTTACATTGTGAAAATGGCCGAAATCGAACAACTACGAATCATCCTCATATATCAAAATTTTAAATTAAATATGATTATTTCATTTTCACAGAACATAAATCAAACACCAATGAAGTTATTGAAACAATCTTTGCACAACTAGTACTTCTAAGCTATGCCATCTGGGGTCCAAAAATAGTCCCCAGATACCGAATATGTGGACTGCCCATATAGCTGAGTTTTTACCAAAAATATTATCTCAGACATATATTATTGAAATTCAGAAAGTATTATCTATTTTTAACATAAGCTAATAGTGTGTTCTGAGTAAAATCGGATCAATAATTCCCCTCGCCGCCATATATCTAATATAGAGATTTTCGAAGTTCCGGTTTACTTTATACCGTATATATCGGTTAAAATGTGATATTTTAATGAAATTAAGTGTACATGTTATTGCTGGTTAATGTGTTTTGAAACTAAAAATTGAGAAGTCATTCCAATTATACTCCTAGCTCCCATATATCCTATAAGGACCACTTTTTCTGATTCGTAGTAATGTTTATGAGTCACAGTGAACAGACAGACTCATATTTTTTTATTTTTTTAAAAAAAATTTTCCTCAGTGCATCACCTTTTGACCAATGTGAATAATTGTTTTACCTATCTACCAACAAAATAAGAAAGAGGCACAGTAGTAAAGTTATAGCAAAAATTTCTTATATTCCATACCACCTGAGAATATGACTTTATTTCAAAAGCTACCTCAGACAACACTGCTCACACACACGCAGCGACAAAAGTAAGCAAAGTTAATAAGAAAATTGCATTTGATTTTGATTGCATTTTATATAAATTAATAATATATATCTACATATATTTATATAAATATGTACTTGTATACTTTGATATGTACAGTATGTATGTAAGTGGGCTTGTGCGTTTGCTCTTTGCTTGATTTGACGCGTATCGTTATTGAGTTGTTGTTGTTATTGATTGAGTCTGGGGCCATACTCATGTAAATCTAATGAATTCAGTATAAAATTGAATTGCATTTCAAAAATTAGTTTATAGTTTTATACGGAATAAATGAGACACAGTACAAAGAAAGCGTGCGCGTAAGTAAGGTCGATAAAGTGAAAGCGGAATGTTTTGTAGAAATTCGCAATTTGTGAAAGGACAATAATATTGTGAAGTGAAGTCGAGACAAATATGTAAGGATAAACAAAAACATAAAAACATAAATAAAATTTATGAATAAATAATAATAACCAAAAAGTAAATTAATGCAAATTTATAACTACAAAAAAAAACAAAATACAATAAAAAAATATTTAAAAGAAATTAAAAAATATAAATACTAAAAAATTAAAAAAAAAAATATTCATAAACAACTTAACCAAAGTAAATATTAATAATGTTTTTGTGTTTGAAATTATATAAACCAAAGAAATAAAAATTAAAAACTTAACGAAATAAATATATCTACTATGTGTAATGTTTAATGTTGAAAAATATAAATTATATACAAAAAAATTACCATATTATTAGAAAAAACTGCCTAGAAACTGTTTATGTGCCGCCCCTCTTTTTAATGTGTCAAAAAGTGTTCTTGACATACATATGTACATACATTTAAATTTTGAATTAATATCGACGTGAACCTTCAATTAAATTCGCAAAATACATACAAATAGATTTACATAAATACATACACACATATATGCGAAATACATATATACATATGTATAAAAATTCAATTTTACATACATATGCCGCATACATATGTACATATATGCATTTATATGATTAATTCTTTACCAAGTGTATAAAAATCGCAAAATACGCTACAAAAAATTCAAAAAAGACAAAAATATATAAAAAACAGCAAAACAAAAACAATAAAATTGTTAATGAAATCGCATATATCAAAAGTTTCCTTACAATTCAATTGTGTTCTTTTTTTTGTTTTAGCTTTCGAGTTGTGTCTATCTTCTTTAGCGGTCATATACTTAGGTGTCGGCACTTTGGTCATTAAACGCTGCGAAAGGCTTTTGTTGAAAGTGTTGTGTTTTTTGTAATTGATTCTTCATTTCTTTGCTGTTTTTAAAGAACTTGGTAAGTATGAATTTTAATGAAAATGTTATGTAAAATAAAAAATGCAAGGAATATATAAATATTTCTTTAGTTATATGCGTGTATAAAAAAGCAATTCATCATTTACGTTTTTTTTGCACCGTTTTATGTTTAAAGCAAAATGCAGCTCTGGTTAAGAAAAATATATGCATTCCTATATGCAGTAAGACCCCGCTTAGCGCGTAGGATACGTTCCATTAAAGTAGAGTTTCGCATTACGAAATAGCGCTAAACGAGGCAATCTTAACATGTAAATGATTGGGTTAGGGAAAGATGGATAGAAAAGTGGTTAGGTATTAAATTTAATAATTATGTTTAAAAACAACCTAGCAATTCCATGCAAAAATACTTATAAAACTTATTAAAACATTTAAAACTCAGATCATTCAGTATATTTTGTGTTTCCAATCTTCTGCCTTTTTGTCAAGAAGGCATCTAATACAGTGTGCGTTTTCCGTTTGCGTTCACTTAGAAGTTGTTGATAAGTGGATAAAGCATCTATAACACCCCCACCTGTTTTTGAACTCCTGTAAAAATTTTGAACATTTCCAATAAATTGTTCCATAATTTTAATTGTAGTAATATAGTGCTCTAACTCCTTTTAACAAACGCCATCTAAAGTTTTTTTTTGCTCTTCTTTAAAATCACTACTGTCAATGTTTTGTATTCTTCTTGCTTAGTTAACTCATAGAGCTCATCATTAGGAAGGCTAACTGCTGAACTCCGTCTATTTTATTAATAAGCTTAAAATTGCATATAACGCCTTCGTCCATTGGTTGGATTAATGTATGTTCGTGTGTATTCGGATGTACAATTTCGGGGAATCCCCAGATTAAAATTAAAGACTGTACATTTCGCCATGTAATTGAATTAGAGTAATTGGTGAAATATATTAAATTTAATGGGATCGCCAGCTTTTATGTTGATTTGTATATTGAATAACTAAAAAAATATTTTTGAAATCATAAATACGGCATTAAAAAATAATAAAAAAAAATTTGAAACACACATACCGCGACCAATATAATTTCATTAGTATTTAGCGTGATAATAGTATGTGGTATTGCCAAAAATTGATGAAAGGGGGTTAATACATCCTTTAGACCCCATATACCTAGTTTACAATTTTCAAACTTCCGGTTGGCCTTATACCATCTATGGTATACGAATTACCCCCACTCCCATATATTACATATGTTATAATATTGTCATTTTTGTATTTCTAACAAGCCTTATGACGAATATGTCGTTCAGTGTGTTAGTTACATATTTATAAAATTGCTTAAAAATATATTCTCAAGTATACCTGAGCAATGTTCAAATTAATGCAATCAGCCCGTCCCTTTCTCTGCCCCCATTATAGCATATATAATGATTTCTGACTTTAAACCGTTTAAGTTGGTCAAAATGTATGATATTTTAATAAAATTAAATGAACAAGTTTCCTGAATATTATATGGTTCACCACTGAATATTAACGGAATTGGTCTAGGTCTAAACCTTATATCCCTAATATAAAGAAATTCGATCCTCTGGTTGACGTTTTGCATATAAATTTAATATATTTATTTTAGCCTCTTCAGTTGAGTTCATGTCACATATTTCTCATATAAGGATGATTTTAATATTATTTTAGTTGACGCGATTAAAATATATTAAAAAAACCAAGTGAGTACATTACCTTCAATATATGTTAATAAGATAATAATATATATTCACGATTTCGTCGAATAATGCATATTGAATTCCTTCGAAAATATTTTTTAATAGAAAGTTTTGCCAACATCTATAAGGATTTTGCCGGCTTTGATCCTTGCAAGTTGCTACACCCAAACTTAGCCCTTCTTTACCTATTATACCATACATATTATGTAGGGTTTTCTTCTGGGTGGAACACTTACACCATATATAAGAGCACTAGCGTTTAGTTGCCGATCTTGTAGCCACTATATTAGTATTTTGTATTGTGTATGGCTACTAATCTTGAAAACAAATCTTGGCTGCTCAGTTGTCAATGATCAGTAGTCGGTTTCCATACGCTAGTTGTCATACATAATATAGTTGTTACTATATCCTATCCAGGGTATAAAAATTTATTGCAGCAAACACGATGAATATGCAACGTTTTGATATAGAGCTCTCCAATTTTTAGTAAATCGTTCTGCCCATTCGGCATCAGAGACCAGGCCACGCTCATTGCATAAACTAAAACGCTCAAACACCAAAACTAAAAACACAAGAGAACTGTTATGTATAAACAAATGTGGGTGGGAGGTCTTCCTTCAACATGTTTCCTCGTATAAGGCTGAGTGCTGTTAATTTTTCTGGTTCATGGCTATGTTGCACTCTGCTGTTACAAGTATACCTATTCACTGTTGCTAACAGCGCACATGTAAGCATTTTAAACATTTATATTGTTAGTAAATATTGCAAGTAATGCATTTCCGGGAGAGACAATTGAAAGACAGTGACCATCAAATTCAAACATACGCATATACAACTACAAGTTTTTGCACACTTGAGCATTTCGCTTTTTGCTCAGGCTGCTATTAGCAAAGCAAAATCATACTGTTGACTTTTCGTAAACATCATTATGTTATTGTTACTTCACCCACCGCGTTTTTCGTGGACATCTAACAGAACTGTTTGGCATAAAACTTTGTACCACCCAAGTGAGTCACACAGTTGCAGAGCGAAGGTCGTTCGTGACGGTTCGTAAATTTTGATTTAAATGTGTTAGCCCGTGTTAAATTACATGTGATTATATTGTGCGAATAATTTGTTGTGAGAAATGCAGGTGCGATTGTCAATAGTGCAAAGAAAAAGTAAGAAATCAAGCGATAATAAGCAAAAAGCGAAGAAAATCTTTTAAAAAATATCACAAGTGCAGCGTTGAGGGCGGCTTACTGCGCATTGGTTACATTAATAACGGGAATTGTAGCAACAAAACCAGATTTCGTTATAGCAATGATTTCTATTTGTTGGTTTTGTTAGCTACAGTGCCCTTTTACATAACCTCATTTGCACTTATCAAGTATTTTCTTTGCAAATAATTAAATGCATTTCAAATAACGGCACATAAATATGTGTTCGTGTGCTTGTGTTGCTGTCATTTGTTTACACAGTTATAAAGAAGTGCTGGTTACACTATTTTGTGCGCTTTTAATAAAACTTTAAAAACTCGTCGCCTTGCCACAACTGTGACCTTGTCAATAACGATTTTTTCAGCGCGCAGTTATAGTATTTGCAAGCAACTATAATTATTTGAACGACCAGTTTTTAAAGTAAGCGGGTGAACAAAAATAAACACAATTACGACAGCAGTAAAAAGATGACAATGATAAGTGCAGAGCAGCCGGTAACGCATCTTAATGGCGATGCAACATTTGGTGAGCAAAATAATTAAAATGAAATAAATGTTTATTAATTTTTGAATAGTAAAAAAAAATATTTGTAAGAAATACAAAAAATTATAGTTAATTACACAAAAAATAAGAAAATACATTAACTTCAGCTGCACCGAAGCTATAACACCCTTCATTGGCATTTCTTATAGCATGATAATGTATAAGAAGATTATATCTTTATTTGGCGGACAGTTTGTATGTACAATATATTCAAGGCTTATGGTATAATGGCCCTTAGGCAATAATCCTTGCCAAATTTCGTGAAGATATCTTGTCAAACAAAATTTTTTTCTTTACATATATAGTGATACGATCTGAACAATATAATCGTAATTTATCTATTTGCCTTAGAACAAATTCTACACCAAATTTCATGAAGATAACTTGTCAAATAAAAAAGTTTTCCATACAATAATTTTGTTGTAAACGGTCAGATTGTATGGTTGCTATATGCTATAGTAGTCCGCTCTGAACAATATATTTATTTAGAGATAATAGCATGGCCAACTCCAAGATCTTGTCAAATTAAAAAGTTTTCCATATAAGGAGATTGTGAGCGGGCAGTTTGTATGGCAGCCATATCCTAGCGTGATCCGATATCGACGGAATTAGCAGCTTCTTGGGAAGAAAAGTATGCAAAATTTCAGATAGATATCTCAAAAAGTGAGGGACTAGTTCGCGTAAACACAGACATACCGACGGATACGGCTACATCGATGTCACGCTGATCGTTATTCATAATATATTATTAAGAGTTTCCGACGTTTCCTTCTGGGTCTTACAAACTTCATGAGAAACAAGCAGGGTATACAAATAGTTAATAAAACCCGCCAGCAGCTACTGCTCATAGCAAAACAAAAAAAATGTAACTTTCATAAAATACATGAAGGTTGACATTTACGCTGTCAGATTTAGACTCACGAAAACTTGTATACATTAAGAGCTGAAAATCAGTTCTAGCCACTAATACTTGGGAAAATATGATACAATAAACGCTTAAAAACGTATTAAGATTAGCAGCCGCGTTAACTTAAAAAAATAATTGCTAACATAAATTCAGCTACAATCATTTTCTTCGTCATGTTTGCCAATTGTAGCACTCCACTCACTAAATATATTTATTTAAAGAAATTCCCGAACTTTTAACCTTTGCTATAGTTCTATAAGTTCTACCTTGAGTCTGTAATTGGCAATTTAACAGCAACGAATGCGCTTGATCCTTTTGTTTACTGACGAATATGTGATTTGTAAATGTAACTGTGAACGGTCAGCTGTTATTTAAATGCAATTTAACAGCAGTCGTCGGGTGTAATGCTAGAGGCAGAAGATTTTTGGAATTCATACAAAATGAATTGGTGAAATAAAAAAAATTTTGTTTTAGAGTTAGTTTCATTTTTTTTGTCATAGATAATTTATAGTGAAGATTTTATTATGAAATGTCTATGTATGTTAGTTTGTCGAATAATTAACTCTTTAATATAAATAATCTATGTTAAGAAAATTATGATAGCTCTTTAACAGTAATTATATAAAAAACTATTGAAATTGCTTTAAGAATCTTGACGAAAAATCAATTATATCTTGGCTTTGGATAATTAAAGTAATATTTCTCCGATATACTTTTATAAAAAATAATTATTATTTAGTAAAAAAAAATTGTTTGGTACTCAGTGAATTTCCATAAAGCGATCATGGAAGGAGTCTGAGGAATCTGAAGGTTTCTCTAAGCATTGCAAGCTAAGCGCGGCACTAAGAAGTATTCCTTTTAACAAATTTGATCCTCCAATATTAGTATTAAAAAGTGAATATATTTACTAATTTGATTCTTAAAACACAAAAGCTTATCAAAAATCACATGTTGACTTAAATTAAAATTGAATACCTAAGCACATGGCATATTGGTATATCTATAACACATTTTGCTCTTCAATCATTAACTATCGTCAGAGTCAACGACGTCAAATGTACTTAGAGCGCAAAAAGCATAAAATTAAAGGGCCAGACAAATAAAATGGACGCATTAATAATTCAAAGCATAATGTGCTCAATTACGTCAAAAAAATATTAAGTCAAAACGTATAGACAAGCGTAAATTAAAAACGCACCAAATGAACGACAGGCTGACACGGCAGTAATAAAACCAAAGCGTGATTCTAACTACCATATATTGAAAATGTTTCGGTTATGGCCTTAAAAAGCCTTTACAACAACTGTTAGACATAAAAAAGTTCAGTTCAAAATAACAATAAAAAATTGGCATAAAGTGTGCAATGATTTTTACACACATATGCGTACATATATAGAATATATTAATCTAAATTATGTATATATGTATATACCTATATGAGTACATATAGTATGTACATGACATGTTTGCATAATTTTATTTAAACTTGTATCAGTTGGAATAAATCGTTGATCTTGATATTGAAAGTGAGTGAGATGTATAAAAGTAGTTTTTACGATTTCAGAATTAATTGCAAAAATTGGTGTCGTGTGATGTGACAAGTGTATAATGACATATGACATATTTTGCTTCATGATATAACAAATTTCCAAGAGAGCGGTGATGCAAACAAAACAAAGGGAGATTTTCATAAAAAAGGACAATTTACGGTTTTTTTCCGAATTGAACTTCTTAGGGAAATTTTCCACAATTGGTTTAATTTTTTTATACAAGTTTTTTGTTCGAAAAAACACTCTGCACTTGAAAAAATATATATTTCACATTGCCTGGCAATGGACAATGTGCGCTCAAGTGCACTACGCCAATCATATGAGGAAAAACTGTCTAAAATAATTTAACTTCGTTTATAAACTAGGTTTCTTCAAGCTCCCTTTTGAACATTGGTGTACCCATGACCATGTTGCTGTTTTCATCATACAAATTTAATTTTCGAATCATGAATCCACCTAAGTATTCCGAAGACTCCACTGCTCTCGACGGCTTTCACATTTTGGTGCGTGGAATATTTTAAAATTTTTTAACCGATTTTCGAAACAATAGAGAGTTGGCTCTCGGCATTATTTCAATATCTGTAACACGCAAAAATGAAAAACACCGAATTCGTATTTTTGAAAAAATCAATTTAATATTTGCACATGCATCAAAAAAAATAAAAAAATTAAAAAGGGCAACATTGTTTCCCAATTGATTTCGTATAAGGCATCGCAATGACAGTTTTTGTACAAAAGCTTATATGTAATTATAACAGTATAGTCCTTGAAATATGAAAAAAATCGATCTCTTATTTATGTTGTTTACCTACTTATGAGTTAGTAGATGCAATTTGACAAGTCAGAGATTATTTTAAAAATTTTTTCTTCCCAAAATACTATTTCTGTGTATCTTAGCACAAATCGTCTGGGAACGAATTTAGTCAGGGAATTTGATTTCATGATAACCTAAATCTTCCATCACTTCTTTACGCATGAAAATCGAAAAAAATCACTGAAAATGTTTAAAACATGTCAACAAAATGTCTTATTTATAAAATTTTTAAATCTTTTTCGATATTTGATTCCTATTATAGTAGCAGTAATAATAACCGAATGCTTTGTAAAACAATATTAGTTGTTTTGGTCGTTTTTGCAAGGATACACAAGTATTAAAATTCAGAAGAATTTTTTCGAATGAAGTACCATCTGACAAAATTTGACTCGAACTGACAAAAAAAATGTTCACGTATTTTTATACAAATCTTTATTATCGTATTCAAAATATCAGGGGCTTATTTTGAATACGATAATAAAGCATGCATCATACACTTGTTATAATCGTCGGTTGGGATGGCCTTCAGTGTCTTCAGCGAATTGTGGATTTTTCGGTTTCGACTCATTTGCTAGATTATTGGACAGTTTCGTCGTGATATTCATAAACCACTGTCTCGTCACCAATAATGATATATTTGATAAATGTAGGGTCCTCAGCTACACTGTCAAGCATCTCTTTTGCGAGCGTTTTTGCAAAAGATTCAGGTCTTTTCTTACGAGTTATAGCATTGACACGCTTCATACCCACCCTCTGTTATGTCTCTGATACTAACACGACGATTTTCAAGCACTGTTTCTTTCATAAAAAAGGTTGTACCAATCTAAAAAATATTATAGATCTTGTTTGGGCGCTCAGTTTAAATGTTTAAAACTAGGTAACTACTTATTAAATTGAATACTTTCTCGTTATTTCGGCGAGTTTCATAGAAATACATTCTGAATCTATCTCGCCAATGGTTAATTCGATACTCGCTTGAAGCAAGCGAATTTTAATGTATCGTTTGCATATGTAGGTACATACTATGTATATCGTTTCATTCGTGTTTAGTAGATCAATTACATATATGAAGTATATTTTGGAGCTCTTTTTCTATCTTCTTTGTTTAAAAAATTACATTTTAAAGCAGCAACAATGTTATACAGTTGTAGTCAATTTAAGAGAATATGCATCTTGCTCTTCAATCTCCATTTGATTATACCAATCTGTGAAATTTATACCAGTCACACAGCTAATATATTCTAAAATACATATATATATCAGAAAGGCTCTTTGGACTTTCTTTGAATAAATAGTTTTACCAAATAATTTTTTATTATTATCCAATTAATTTTTACGTAATATTTCAACCCTAGATAGTCCTACACAACATTAGTGGTTGCGGAATTGAACTTGTGGTTCATAGTACATTTTGAAATTATCTTAATGAGGGTGGCTTGTTAGACAGGGTACTCTCAGAACAACTTTCATTGATAGAGAGCAGTTTGCAATACCATTTTTAATTAGCACGGAGAGAGCGTTCTTAGATAAAGCGGATATTCAATACTCGTATATAATATAATACTATATTATCGATCCATCATAACGAACTCTACTCATAAAAATCTAAATGAGTATTACTGCGTATTAACCCTTTGAAGTGCCGTTCAAATAAATTCCATTGTAGAAGATTGCTTTATACTACAAGTAGTATTGTATAGTTGTCTTAAAG